CTCTATTGTATGAAAAGATGCTCAACATCACTAATCATCAAAGAAATGAAAATAAAAACCACAATGAGATACCACCTCATACCTGTTAGAATGGCTATCATCAACAAGACAAATAATAAGTGTTGGAGAGACTATGGAGAAAAAAGAACCCTCATACACTATTGGTGGAAATGCAGATTTGTACAGCTGCTATGGAAGGTAGTGTGGAGGTTCCTCAAAAAATTAAGAATAGAATTACCATATGATCCAGCAATCCTTTTCTTGGGCATATACCTAAAAGAATCTGAGAACATTTATCTGTAAAGATATATGTACTCCGATGTTCATTGCAGCTTTGTTTATGGTGCCCAAGACATGAAAACAACCAAAGTGTCCCTCAATGTATGATTGGATAAAGAAGATGTGGGATATATACACAATAGAATACTACTCTGCCATAAGAAAAGATGAAATAGTGCCATTTGTGACAACATGAATGAATCTTGAGGTTATTATGCTCAGCAATATAAGTCACATAGAAAAAGTCAAGAACCATATGATTTCATTGATATGTGGGTTATAAAACTAAAAGCAACAAAGGAATAAGACAAATAAAGAAACAAAAACGCATAGACAAAGACAATAGTTTAGTGGTTAACAGAGGGTAAAGGAGAGGGGAGTGGTAGATATGAGTAAATGAGGTCAAATATATGGTGATGGAAGGAGAACTGACTCTGGGTAGTGAACACACAATGAGATATATGGATGATTTATTACAGAATTGTACATTTGAAGCCTATATAAGTTTACTAACCATTGTCACCCCAATACATTTTAATTAAAAAAATAAAGATAAGGTAATAGAAAACACCCAAACAGAACAGCAAAAAGAAAAAAGAAACAAACAAACAAAAAGGATAGTTTAGGGGGCCCCTGGGACAACATCAAGCATACCAGCATTCACATCATAGGAGTACCAGAAAAAGAGAGAGAGCAAGGAGTGGAAAACCTATTTGAAAGAATAATGTCTGAAAACTTCCCTAACCTGGCAAAGGAAATAGACATACAAGTCCAGGAAGCACAGAGTCCCAAAAAAGATGAACCCAAAGAGGCCCACTCCAAGATACATCATAATTAAAATGCTAAAGGTTAAAGATAAAGAAAGAATCTTAAAAGCAGCAAGAGAAAAGCAGTTACTTACCTACAAGGGAGCACCCATAAAACTGTCAGCTGATTTCAACAGAAACTTTGCAGGCCAGAAAGGATTGGCAGGAAGTATTCAAACTGATGAAAAGCAAGAACCTACAACCAAAATTACTTCATCCAGCAAAACTACTATTTAGAATTGAAGGACAGATAAGCAGCTTCCCTGGCAAGAAAACGCTGAAGGAGTTCATCACCCCCAAACCAGCATTACAAGGAATCTTGAAGAGATTGCTTTAAGACAAAAAAAACTATGAATAATGAAATGGCAATAACTATATATCTATCAACAATTACTTTCAATGTAAATGGATTAAATGCTCCACTCAAAAGACAGGGTGGCTGAATGAGTAAGAAAACAAGACCCTTACATATGCTGCCTATAAGAGACTCACTTCATATAGAGAGGCACACACAGACTGAAAGTAAAGGTATGGGAAAAGCTATTTCATGAAAATGGAAACAAACAAAAAAGAGCNAATAATAATAATAATAATAATAATAATAATAATAATATACTGGGGGTGCCAAAAAATGTATACACATGACTTGTGTTCATCTTTTGTTATCAGTATATATTGAATATTACAATTTTAATACAGTTTTTTCCCTTCTTAAAATGTGTATACATTTTTTTAGCACCCTCTACACACACACACACACACACACACACACACACACACACACATGCTCTATTTCTCTCCCCTGATAGGGTTTAGAAACAGTGACACTCTATTGTAAGGAGCACACCTCATGCCAAGATCTTGGTTTATAAATATTTTTTCACTGAAAGGGTCCCAGGCTCCTTAGAGAAATAGCTGACTCAAGGACCAGGGCTCAAAAAATGTGTAAGATGAGGCTGGTACATCTTATGCTACAAAGAAAGAAAATGCTAACTACTTAAGGGTACATGTCAAAAGGACACAAAAGCCAGACTAAGGGACTTCCACTGACAAAACCAGGGACAATTTGAGCATCATAATAATGATAGTAAGAAATTATAACACATTGAATAAAATATGAAAAGATGAGTACATACAGACATACAAAAATGGATGAATTGCAACTGGGTGAGGATACTTACACAGTTTCAAAGTACTACTGCTCAAAATATTTATCAATTACAAAGGGGAAAGGTTAGCTTTACAGGGGAGAACACTGTCACACACACCCTTAATCAAGCGATCAGAGTGAGTATCGTCAGGAATGAGATGAATTGATCATGCATCACCTGATAGGATGCAGTGAGAAAAATTCAGCACCACCTCTGTGATAGATTGATAGATTTCATACAGTTTCCCCCATAGCTCATGGATATAAATATGTTTTAATCATAATCTGTGTTTTCTCACTGGACTGAAACTTTCCCTTGTAGACATGCTACTGCCTCTTCTGTGGCTAAAGTTCTGTTAGAAAAGATTATTCCTACCTGGGGAGCTCCTCTCAAACTCCTAAGTGATTGAGGAACCCATTTTACTGGTCAGGTGCTTCAACAACTCTGTTGCTGTTTAGCCAGTCTTACAGCATTTTCATGGTGCTTACCACCTTCAATCCTCAGGTTTAGTCAAACATACTAATGGCATTATTAAGATTCAAATGGCAAGATTCCTGGTCAAAATGGTGAAGTAGGTAAATGCTGTGCTCACCTCCTCTCAGGACCACATCAATTACAACTAAACTACAGAATAACCATCATTGAGAATCGCCTGAAGTCTAGCTGAACCAAAGCCTACAACTATGGGCATACAGATGCAGCTACCTTGAGACTGGTAGGAGGAGCAGAGACATTGAATGGGTTGGTCCCACACACATGTGACCATTAAAAATTGAGAGGAATATCTCAGCTGTGGAGGTTCCCCCCTATAGGAACGAGGGGTCCCAGCCCCACACCAGGATCCCCAGCCCAGGGNCTTGTGGTGCTTATGTTTTATTAACTTGTTTTCATTTATGTTGTGAAACCAGGTTCAGTAAGCAGAACAAGGACAGCATAAATCCTTACATATACCTGCCCTTTGGAACTGGACCCCGAAACTGCATTGGCATGAGGTTCGCTCTCATGAACATGAAACTTGCTGTTGTCAGAGTCCTGCAGAATTTCTCCTTCAAACCTTGCAAAGAAACACAGGTCAGTTAACCTTCTGCATACATAATGCTTTACTGGGGGATTTTTCTTACTGGGGGATACATATGTGTATATATTATGAATGTGCTGATTCACTGTTTAGTGATTTATTCTAGAGGCCAGAAAATCTATTTGAAATCATCTGTGACCTTTAAGATCCTGTTACCTCTGGAGTGCTAAGTCAGGGGCTTCATAAAAACCCAGCTATAAAGGCCATCTAGAATCAATGCAGTTAATGTGACATGATGCTACACAGCCCTTTAAGCAAAGTTTTAAATTTGGCTTCAAGTCCACTGGAAGGAAGAGGAAGTGTTGTGTGTAGTCACAAAGTGCAATGTTAACCACGTCGTAACTTTTGAACGATGCTTTCCACCAGAACTTACAGAAGCTCTTCTAGCAGTGGTTCTCAAGTACTGGCTATGCAATGAAATCAGTGTGGAGTTTTATAAATTCCTGATGACTAGGTCATCTCAGATTCTAAAATAGTTCATCCTGTGTGACTTTAACAGTGCTCCCTTTGATTTTCACGTGCAGCAAGGATTGAGATTCACTGATTAAAACATTTCTGCCAGATGTGAAGGACTCCCACAGTCCAAGGCTGTCCTGGCTACTTGACCCCACCTCTTGGAGCCCTGCTACACTCAAACTGGGCTACTTTTACACCTGAATAAGAGCTCTGTGATGTTCTTCTCTCTCATCTCCCCATTCTGTTCTCATCCTTCAAGTCCTAGTTCATATCCCCAACCCCCTCCAGGAGCCATTCCCATCTAGTCCAGAGCCAGTTCTCTCCTCTGCTGTTATTGCTTACTACAGGCTGTACCACCTCACCTAATATTTTGTCGCTAAGTCATCCAGTCTGGTTCTCCATGCTTTCTTTGTACCTAAGAAAGATACAGAGCACCTCATTTTGTTCCTTTCATAAATTCCCTTGCACTCATGCAGGAAATGCTTCAGGAGTTATTTGCAGTTGATTTAGAGCTCTTGGATATAAATTTTAAAAATTTATTTTGAAAA